CCCGGGGGGCAATTGCTACTTGTCCGCCCCTGGTGCCACTCACTCTGTGCAAGTCGCAGACTCTGGATCCAGCAACAGAGCCCCAGACCATCACGCTTCCTCCTCCATTTTTGAAACTTGGTATCACACCCCATGGAAATATCCTTTCGCCTACTCAACAGCATACACAAACGCTACATGAGCCGAAGTTATCAAATTTTGATTAATCGGTCCATAAGACCTTCTTACAGTCTTCAGTGGTCCACTGGCTGTGTTTCATGGCCCAGGCAATCCTCTTTTTCTTATTTTGCCATCTTAGCAATGCCTTTCTTGCTGCCATTCAACCTGTCAAACATGCAGCTCAAAGTCTTCTCTTCGCAGTTGAAACTGAGACCTTCTTACTTTGGAGTAGGAATATGTACTCACTGACACCTTGGCTTTCTTTGCCATTTCTCTAAAGGAACGACCTACACTTTTAAGGATTATAATGGTCTGTCTGTCTTCCTTTGTTATTTGCCTTTTACTCGCCATTTTAAGAGCAATATACTACTTCCTGCAGTACAATACTGTTCAAATATTGCTTAAGAGGGTGTAGTAACACAGTCTGTTTTACTACTTTTATACAGACAGAGGGCTTGTGGTAATCAGAAAAAGTTGGGGCACCTGTAGGAATTAGCATAAACTTTCAGGCCGGGTTCACACCACAAAGTCTGCGTTCCAAATCGTTCGGCCTCTAGAACACACTGGAACGCAAGTCGGCCGGCTCCCATCGTTCAGGGCGTGGCGGTGCATTGAAGTAAATGGAACACAAACTTTGTGGTGTGAACCGGCCCTCAAGGCTTAATTTACTTACATTGCTGCAGAACAACTATGAATGGTTAACCCATTCCTTCTTCCCCGAAAAAGGCCGTTTTGTATATCTCTGAAATGTACATTATTTTTCAGCTTTGTTAACCCAAACTTGCTTTTTTTTTTTTAACTCTGGCAGTTTACCGCTTACCTTTGTACCATTTCAGGTTATTCACTGGACTTGATATGCTTACATTTCAATAAAAACTGGAAAAATGGGGGTGTTCTAAAACTGTTGACCAGTAGTGTATATAGACATACATTAGGTCTGGGCATCTAAGCTTCAAAGATTCCAGACAAAAGAGCTTAGGTTATTTCTCACCTACAGGGATGCAGACAGTTCAGGTTTTTACATTGCAACTCTGAGATTGCATCAGGTGGTCATAATGAAAGCAGACACTCCAATTTAGAAGTCGGTTTTATCAAAAGTAGGGATGTTCAGATAGCAAGTACCGTACTCGGTACAAGTACAAGTACAGATACTTTTCCAGCTACAAGACTAGGCTAGAGAAAAATTCAAAAGTTAGGAGGCAGCTGTCATTTTTTTTTTTAGCATGTAATTTTTATTGGATAGCTGTCATTTTTAAGGAGCACACGGGGCTCCTGGGATTTGTGCATCCCTGTTTTAATGTATGAATTTTTTTTTTTCTAAATAAATATAAGGGATGCACCGATACCATTTTTCCAAGTAAAAGTACTGATACCTGCCCAAGTACTCAAAGATACAAGTACTAAAACATTTTTGTTTATTGTCATGTGACAGTTTTTCTAAAACAGTCACAGGAGCACCAGAACCCGGTCCCAGTTACAACCGCTGCCACCTTGGTAGTTCTCGTGAAAATGCCAAGTATCCGCACTGGTATCTGAACACCCCTAAAGACATGGTAAAACATCACTTTCTTCAAAGGAGAGCAAAGTATGAATCTCAAAAATGTTTGCTACAAATCCTTGCAATGTATATAGTTATAGTTTACATAGGGGGATTGTATTTTTCTTAAAGAAACTGAAGCTGGAGGAGCAAGGTGTTGCAATGAACAGCAGGTAAGGTGAGGATATGGGGGACAGGGATGCCCTCTCCTGAGACACTGCCACTTTGTCCTGCATTGGCAAGGTGACAACGTCTCTTTAAGCTGAAATTTGGAGGGCTACTGGGGCACAGCTTAGGGACAATGTATAGCACTAACGGTACGTACTTACAGATTTTTTTTCCTGTTCAATATTTTTCTTGAATGTTTTAACAAAATTGCAGTAGAAAAAGGTACCATACAGTTAGATATTGTAAATCAGACAGCACATGGGTGAACTATGGCAAAAACACCTTCTCTAGTCATGGACATGACATTGCGTGAGTATCTTCATTCAGTAAAAGCTTTGTTGGGTGAAAAGAGGAAGAGAAAGAAGAAATAGAGAATGAGATAGAGAGGGGAAGAAGTGGTGGGGGTGGAGGGTTGGCAGATCTGCGGCTGGGGAGACGTACTAGCCCCATTAGACAATAATGCGCATCTATGAAGTCCCTGTCAAATAACCATTAGAGGGTGGCTATAATCCTCTTCATGATTCTGTGTAATGACAGGTTACTGCATACCTTACACTGCACATTACATGCATTTTAAAGATTAGAAGTATAAACGCTCTTAGTAAGTCATTAATACTCATCTTAAAGACATAGGGTTGTCACCTTTCACTCTACTGAATGGGCTTGCGACACACTCAAAAAGTGGGTGTGGCTTATCTAATTGTATTGATCATTATTCACATGTGAGCATGGTAAAACAGGGCCAGGTTTTTAACTGGTTTTGCCCCAATTTTCTCCCATTTATAAGAACACTATTATTATCAGCAAGCCGACAAAGTTATCATGGCTCAGATTCCCACTCTGGTTCCTTCCCCGGAAGCTGTAAGGGTGCCAGCACTGACCTTGTCAGCACTCCAACTCCACACAAAAAAGAAAAAGGCTGCACTCCTTAAATCCGCAGAATCTCATGTTTATTCCCATCTCAACCACATTAATTATCCCCAACCTACTTCCGGATGCCTCTAATACGTTTCACCCCTTTGGCTTCTAACACGTTTCACCCCTTTGGCTTCTAACACGTTTCACCCCTTAGACTTATGGTAGGGATGACACCACTGTTATGGTTCTGGTCCCAAGCACGGCAGGGTTATTTACAAATGAAATGAAGACACCTTTTTTAAAATGTTGTGTATTTTATTGTACTATTAGAAAAACGAACAAACAAAAAAGAAATTACCGGAATGGTTTAGTATAAAAATTGACAATTGGTCATTAAAGCTGAACTCCAGGAAAAAGAAAACAAAGACTTTTGCAGTGGGGTTCCCGAGTGCTATAAGGGTGAAATGCTTGTTTTGTGTAGGAGGAACAGAAAAATCAGCTATACTTCCCTTATCCCTCACTTCCCCGGCAGATAGCAATCTTTTCAGATGCTCCGGGTTGTGGACGGGCCCCCTGTGACCACACTTACAATGCAGGACTGCTGGTCCTGCATTGTACACGATCAGGGCCATTTCTATAATGAGGCAGCCTGAGGCGCTTGCCTCAGTTGTCATCTCATTGGGGAGCGGTCAGGTGGTGGTGAAGGGGGGCGGCCACAGCTTGCTAGGAACTCTTAGCAACCTGTGACGCTCTGTGTGGTGCAGCTTCCCGACCAGCTCACTGGTGTGACTAGTTGCCAGGAGATGAGCGGGGAAGCTCTGGCTTGCGTTTCGCCGAGCTCCTGGCATCCAGTGACGTCAGTTAGCTGGGCAGGAAGCTGCACTGAACAGAACTCAGCTGGACGCAAGCTAGAGCGTCCCGGCTCAGCTCCTGGCACCCAGTGACGTCATTGAGCTGGCCGGGAAGCTGCACTGAACAGAACTCAGCGGGACACAAGGTAGAACGTACCCGCTCAGCTCCTGGCAACCAGTGACGTGTGAGCTGGGCGAGAAGCTGCACTGAACAGAACTCAGCGGGACACAAGCTAGAACGTCCCCGCTCCGCTCCTGGCACCCAGTGACGTGTGAGCTGGGCAAGAAGCTGCACTGAACAGAACTCAGCAAGACACAAGGTAGAACGTATCCGCTCAGCTCCTGGCAACCAGTGACGTCATTGAGCTGGGCGGGAAGCTGCACTGAACAGAAGTCAGCGGGGCGCAAGCTAGAGCGACCCACTCAGCTCCTGGCGTCCAGTGATGTCAGTGAGCTGGGGGTCACGTAGACAGACCTGCTCAAAGCGTGGTCCGGAGGTCCACAGCCCACTGTCCCCCCTCCCCCACGACCATTGCCTGATAGCACCCCTGCCTCAGGCGATGGCAGCCTGTACATGATGATATCAGAGATCTGCATCTGATAGAGCAGCTTTGGGGGGACCGGCTGTGCAGATGGGAAGACGCCAGTGGGAACGAGGGATAAGGGAAGGACAGTTTATTTTTATGTCTCCCTCAGACAAAACAAGCATTTAACCCTTGCAGTGCAAGTAGAATCCCCAATGCAAGGATCGTTTTTTCTTTTTCCTGGAGTCCAGCGGCTATGGGAACCAGACCACGAGGTTTCAAAGCAAACCACTGGTCACCCTTGAGGGTGTCATGTGGAAATGAATGAGGCAGAGCAGAAGCTATGGCAGCTACAGTGAAAACTCAATCCTGTCTAGCTGGGTGACTGTGCCTCTCTCCTTGCACTAATAAGATCCTACATGAGGCACTATCTGCATGGAGTTTGCATGTTCCCCCCAGGTATTTGCTTGCCTCTCAGACTGGAAGCTTGTCTGTCATACAGAACAAGACCAGGTTTCCTCCTCTAGCAGGGGTGACCCTAAACCCCTCTGACATTATGGGCCAGTATGAGCAGCTGCAGAATGTGCCCAATTACACCGCAGGAAACACATGCATGCGCACACTGACTGTCCCCACATGTGACACCATTGTACTACATACACATATTAGAACATTGGCTGTGAGTGACACATGAGAAGTCTATGTTACTTACTATCCATAGTCAGTGTACAGAACACAGTTACAATGTTGTCCGGCAGGTTCCATGTGCACCATGCTATTGTATGTGACCGCCTTCATCCCGGCCGTTCCGTCTGCACTTCCTCGTGTGGACGCTGGTGTCGCTGTGCGCAGTGTATATATGCAGCAGCCGGCAGTCTATGGACAACACACCATACATACACTATGCTGGCTCTCAGTGGTAGTAGGCTGCTTCTCCGGGGCTGCCGCTCATGTACCGGATCACTTACCGTATGGAGAGCCTGCAGCTCCACCGAGGACAGTGCGAAGGATAACCCGCTAGTGTACCTGGATGTTACGGCAGACAACAAGCCTCTGGGGAGGATTGTACTGGAGGTGAGTTTTGGCTCTATATAATCCCCGATGTGACATGCTAACCGCAGACATGTATGTACAGGCAGTGCGGGAAGAGAGCTCTATACATGGGGCCTATAGAGGAGTCCTATGATCTACTGCTCTCATGTCACTCGCCTTGTCCCCCTGATGGCACTTGCCTTGTCCCCCTGATGGGACTGTGCTGATGTCACCTGGCTTGTCCCTCTGATCATCAGCTTGTTGCTTCTCTGTACACAGTCTGCCCTGCCAGTACTAATCACTGCTAGGGTACATTCTGGATTATTCCCAATTGTCATTCTGCTGGTGGTGTCACCCATTTATGTCTGGCTTCATCGCTGGCATTTCATGACATTTATTTTTTTTGTAGCTTTTAATGTATTGTAATCTGACTCTTGTATACAGAATGACACTGATCTTAGCTTGAGTCCTGCTGACTCAGCTGAAATCCATGCAGTGTGTATGTAACCTTGCTGGCACCCCTCTGTTGGAGAGAAAAAAATTTGACTTTTCTCAAGGAATCGGCCGTAAAAATTGTCTGCCGGACATTGATTTATAGCTGCTGATGCAGCAGATGCCAGCTGTCTGAATGCAATGGCTGGCAGGGGAGATTGCTTCATCCACAGTTTAGCGTAGTTGGGGGGGTAAAGTGATAGTGTATGGCCAACCTAAGGTTACAGTCACACTGGCCTCTCCTGCGTTAGGTTAATCACACTTTATTTCCCAGTTCTCATGTGTCTAACTGTACTTGCAATTATGTATGTTTATGTGTGTTTATGCTCATTTAGAGCTTGTTCACATTATGTGCTGTGGCCTGTGTTTTTTTTTTTTTTCCTCCATTGCAACACACACACTGAAGCACAGAGCTGCAGATAAATGCAGCAAGCCTGCATTTCTCCACACTGGAGCTTCCCTGAAACTTCCATCCATCTCCAGCATAAAAATGAACGAAATGTCACTTGGTTACAAGTTAAAGAAAAGTAACCCGTGCCTTGCATTTTAAAGACACTAGGCACTGCCTGTACAGAGCAGACACTGGCTGGCATGCTAAGCAGCTCCGTGAATGAGCCCTCAGAGTACGTAATCTGCCCCTGGACGCAGAGCACTCTATTTTCGCTAAACTAAACGCACATAAATGGTTGATGTGGATGATCACACTAAAAATCATTAGATGTTTATAGATGATCTATGAATGTGTATAATGGCAGCTTTGTCAATATCTGTGTGAACAAGGTCTTCGTTGGCACAAGTAGGTCATTCCAGTAGTAAATCCTTATTAGTGATCAGTCAGTTCAATGCAGCGTGCGACTTGTAGGGCGGATTTAGTCTTGGCCATGTTGCTCTCAGGTTATACGGTGAAGGGTCACTGTACTAACATCTGATGTAACTTGTTCTGTCTCAAGGTCATTGTACATGTTGCCAGAGCTGACCATGTGTATTTGTTCAGTGAACTCTACAAGGTGACCTTAGTGTGGCTAGTTCTGTGTCTGTTCTGGGCTGATAATGTTAGACTTCCTGCCAGGAGGGAACTTGCTGGCTAGTAGATTCCTTGTGCTTTCACTTGTGTAAACTGGCAGTCATTGTAACCTTCCAGTGCTGCCAGCACGTCCGATATAGTGTTGATATATTCCAGCACAACCCATATTAGTGCTTACTGGTACTGATGTGTCTTGGCGTGATGAGTTTTAACCAGTTTATTGGCCTAGTAATTCAATAAAGAGTCACTTGGGAAGGTAGCTACCTGTAAACATACACAATGCACAGGGTTCTTTTATTATTATTTTCTACATGCATCCAGAGAGGAAAGTGTAAATTATCTGCACCGTGAACAGTGCACACATTTGCTATCTGCAAGTGAAATTTGTGATGGTCAAGACAGGTTTGATAAGCCTTCTGAATCACTGGCCCAATGAGGCTCTGGATCTTGAGCACTATGCTCAGCAGGGCCAAATTAACCATCTGGTCAAAAAGGGCATTTAACCTGGCCCCAACAGCCTAGCATTGCCCCAGGGTCGGGTCCATTTCTAGCCCTAGACAAGAAACAGGTTATGGAAGTTAGGAAAAACATTTATTTGATATATTGGTGGTCCAGTGTGTAAGTGAAATTTGCCAGAACTCTAATCCCCCATGTCTGTGTTTGGTATTCTCATGCTTTTTGTGTTTGTTGGGGACATGAGAAGATGGCCCACCCAATGAGATGTCTAATTTGGGCCCAACAATGTCTTAAAATGTTCTTGGTGCTGAAGGGGATAACACACTTTCTTAACTGTGCTTGTTATCACCTTCTCAGACTTCAAAAATGATCTCCCTGCATGCAGCGGGGCTGATCATTCCTCTTACAGAGACAAGAGAGAAGTCACTGACTGCGTCTGTCTGAATTTGTTTTTAATAGGTTTCAAACCGCCACAAACAATCAAGAAGAAATCGCTGGATCAAGTCTTTGAAGAAACCAGCAGGTCATAAATATTGGTCTCCCATGTCTTCCACAGCACTCACTGGTTCCTCCTGCCTGCATGGTTTCAGGAATGGTTTCCTTCCCCTTTTATTTGTTTACCTTTTTTACAGAGACTTTACAGAAAACTGCTACTTGTCAACTTGTATAAAAATATTAAATATATATTTGTTTATAATTTTTTTTTAAACAAGTTGACAAGTAGCAGTTTTCTGTACTCATTTGTGCAGCACTAGCCAGGGATAGTTCTTTCATTTGTTCTTCTTTTGTTTCTCTTCACATTTTCACATTTAAATGTTTTTGGTCCATGTCCATTCTTTTTTTCCCACACTGCTGATTACATGTGAAGTTCTCACTTAAGTGAAAATTGAGATGACCGTTATTCTACACTTCTTCATTTCATCGTGTGCGTGTGTGTGTGGACTTTTTTAAAGTGACCCAGAATGTATTTTTGGTAAACTACTTGATTATTGGAGTGGCATTCTTTGGCATGAGCGCTTATTTTATTTATTTTTTAACATTTGCAGGGTTCTTTGCGTTTGACAGTTGCTGACAGGGTCACTGTAATACAGCTAGAGCTTGAAGGAGTTGCTCAAGCTATAGGATGCATGGAGGGGTCAGGTTTCCAAATTCTGTGGCAGTCATTTATAGCAACCTTATGGGTTTCAAATGAAACCCTACGTCTCGAAATAGTTCTAGTTTTGTCTATGTGTTATTCAGAGGGCATCAGATCATTTCCTACTGAAACATTAACACAAACTGCTGGAATGAACTACCATCATGGCAAAAGTACTGTACATCAGGGCTGGACAAATCCTAAGTGCCAGGTAGCCAATTCTACTTAAAATGACAGATGGTGGCTAACTTTGATAGTTTTCTCTGATTGTTGTCAATGAAGCTGGCTCCAACAAATCCTGCTGGCTCCTGGATTGGAGAGACGGGCTCTTGAACTCCTTATTTATTGTTCTACCCCTGGTGTGTATATAGATATCTGCTCTGCCTTGTGCTTATTTACAGTTAAGGTGTAATAATAAAAAAGTGCTGGCAACTGTAGCAGGCAGTCACCAGTGTTGTAGGTGTGTTTAGTGATATTTCAAGATAGGCTTCTCTTCTGAGTCAGCATTTCTATCACCTAATTGGCATTGAAATACATTAGGACAAAGCTGGACAAATCCCAGGAGCCAGGTTGTCACTGATCCTTGAAAAAGGACTGCTGGTGCCTAAGGTTTCAGGCTTTCTCTAGTTCCTGCTGGCTCCTGAATTCCATATTCATTTGCCCACCCTTGCATTAGGATTTGATCCAATTAGTCAATTTCTTTTCTTAGGAATTTTTTTTTTAAAATTCATTTTTACCTGTAATGTTCAAAACATGGTTACTCATGCTGCTTCTGAGTGGCTGTTCCATTCTTCCCGATCAGCCTACATCAGAGGTGGACAAATGAATAGAGAATTCAGGAGCCAGCAGGATATATGTAGGAGCCAGATCCATAGACAACAATTAGAGAAACCCTCAAAAGTTGGTTGCTAGTTAAAAATTTTAGGGAAGGTTCACACCGTTTTTCAGACGAGATTTGGAAAATGGTGTGAACCGGCCAGCAGTTCCAGGGCACTCCAGACCAGACAAAATGAGACATGCAGTATGTTTGTTGGGTCTGGAACGGACTGCGCTGGTGTGAACAAAGGCCAGAAATAGCATAGGGATTCATCAGGATGCATTTTGGATCCGGAAACAATCTGGTATGATCTGGATGTGGTGTGAATGGACCCTTACACCCTATTCACACTGAGCGCCATGGATATTGCGCGTGATTTTACGCTGAGTGGCTAGGAGCTACATTTGAGTTACAGTGCGCATTTTATCACGCTACATAGCGCGTTTTGCAGGCGGGACTTTGTCGCTGCTACATTGGGCTGTAACCAATCAACAGCGATCTTGACATGACATCATTCTTTCCTTCCATTTTTCAGTACAAAAGTGACTTTTCTGTAGCGCAATATCGCATGACGAAGTCGCGTAACATTGCCGTTAATGCGTGATTTTGCGTGACACTGTAGAGTCTATTGGAGCCCAATCGCGCGACATCTGTGCAAAAAAGGGTCATGTACAAGCGACAAGCTACAGGTGACATTGAGCTGTGAGATGTGAACAGCTCCATTGAAATGCATTGGACAAGCTACATAGAGCGATATTGCACGGAAATATCTGCGATTTCACTGCAAAAATCGCGTGATAAACTGCTTTGTGTACGGGGCCTTAAGGAGCATTGGCTACCTGGCTGCTAGCATTTGTGTAGCCTTGCTTTACATGCTGAGCTAGCCCCTCCCCTGATTGTTTGAATAATCACTTGGTGATATAATGGTAGTGTTGAATGCTCAATACAAGTTATGGTTGGAGGTTTTTCACTTAAGGAGAACCTGTCATGAGTGGGCTTGAGCAAGCATCTAACTAATTGGTTTTAAAATGACAATTGTGTGGGGAATTTTTAGTTCTGTCCTATTATTGTGCTCGGTTTACCTAGTGTGAGAGGCCCTCTGAAGTCTGATGGTTGCAGTCCCATCAACTGGTTGACCTCACACATAACATCGCTTACTCAGAAGCTGAGACAGGCAGTAAAAGAGAAAAGACCAACCTTTTTTCTTTATACGCGTGTACAATTAGAATAGCTTCAGGTTTATTTATATTTTGGAATTGAAATTCTGTTGAAATATTTGATGGTTTGTCTGGAGACTAAATGCTTTATCACTCTCAAAATTTAGCTGCACCCTACTGAAATGTTGGGCTCAATTAACAACATTTTCTTCAATTTCTTCAATAAGTGGTAAGTTGAACGTTGTACTCTGCTTAATTGACAGGACAGAGTATACTACAGGAAGTATGTACATGACCTTGTATACTCGGGTTTATCTGGGTAAAGCTGCAAATTATAGAACTTCTTTTTTCAAGTAGATTTCCAGGTAAAATGTACAATGAAGGTGACACTGCTGCTGTCTGGCACGTCGTAGTTATTAAAATGTGCGGGTCATATGACAGGAAGTCAAGTTCAAACATGCTATGGTATTCTCATTGTATATAATTACTGCAGCCACATGTTTTCATAATGCAAAGGCACAGAACCTAATTAATGGTGAGTGCTGATGTAAATGTATATATCGCAGGTGTATATTATTGATGTACCCTTTATCCCTGATGTATTCTTTCTTAAACTGCGGCTGTGCACATACTGAGTACTGAAGTAGAGCTGAAGCTATTTTATTTTCATTTTGAATAGAGTAAGGGAGGGTTATAACCCCTGAGATGGATAGATCAAGCGATTTTTATTTTTTGCCATCTGTGTCCCATTGGGAAGATTTCCCTTCAGTTTCTGACCAATATCCACAAAAGGAAGTGAGTGGAAATCCCTGGTGGTCAGCAGGATCCCCAGAACTATTGCCTCCATTGGCAGATTTTCCGTCTATTTCTGCTCTGGTGACAACCCAAAATTCAGTGAGGGGAATTTATCAAAACTGGAGCAGCTGTGCATAGCAATCAATCAGCTTCTCTCTTTCATTTTCAAATCTTAACTGAACAAACTGAAGAGAGAAGCTGACTGGTTGACATGGGCAACTGCTCCAAAATCTGTCTGCTCCAGTTTTTATCCCCCCCCCAGTGTGTTCTATAGAGATAGAGGGTGAATCTCCTTAATGGGGACAGCAATAAAAAACTGACAGGCGTTCGAATCCCTCTCCACTCTATCCAAAACTAAAACAAAAGTTGTGGCTTCATTTGCACGTTAATGGTGTAGTTTTAGATTGTATGTTTATGATGGTAACAGTTTATTTGCTTATGCTTTCTATGGAATTTTCAGATTTAATAATTTATATATTTATTTTTTTCAGTTGAAAAAAGAAATGGTGCCAAAAACTGCAGGTAAGCGCTAATTGGCACTGTGGCCTGGAAAGTCTGTTGTTGGGTTCAGTCCCCAGCAGCGACCTTGTCTGTGGCATTTTCTCCCTATAGTTTGTTTCCTCTGAAACTTTAGGTTTCCACCCAAAAACATACCCACCAGTCATTCCATTGCCACTAAAAGCTGATTATTTGTTGTGATCATATTCTGTTCATTGTTATGGTTATTTGCCCATTTAAGGTTTATTATACACAGAAAAAAAGTATATACTAGTTTTCTTGTTTGGAAACTGAATTTTTAAAGTCTTATTGAACTCTCAAACTTATTTTCAATAATGAATCCAGATCAAACAAATATACATGGCCCCGCAATTATTTCTTTACGTTTTTGCCCAAGCACTTAACGATCATCATGTTTCCAAACAGACGGCTCCAACTCTCTTCTCTCCACTTCCCTGAACTTCTCTGATTTAATAAGCATTTCAAATGGCTTCAAAACTTTTGACTTTAATATTACTTTTAATCCTTCCTGTTACAGAAAATTTCCGATTGTTATGCACTGGAGAGAAGGGCTTTAGTTATAAAGGATCCACGTTCCACAGAATAATTCCTGACTTCATGTGCCAGGTATGTGCAAGTCTTCAGCGGCCCAACCCCTGCTTCATTCTCTGCAGAAATTGTAGGCAGATAACAAAGAACTCTGAAGGTCAATTCCTGCATTTTGCTGATCACACAACCACTGTGACTGTGCTCAGACTAGGTGATTGGCCCCTTAGGCACTGCATTGAAGAAGGGCAAAATAGGATAAGATAAGCTAGTGCAAGAGAGGTTGCCTGGTATATGCACTGGAGGTGTGTGTGTGTGTGTGTGTGTGTGTGTGTGTGTCTAGGTCGTTGGGGGAGCCCTCCTCACAGCAGTCCCGGCCAAACAAGAAAAGATGGTGCTCGCAGTGATATTGGTTCACGGATGGCGCCGTGCAGACATAGAACAAGCAGGGAAAAGGTATTTGTGGATTAAACCTCTTGGGTTATTTTCCCCTCACAGGGTGGAGATTTTACAAATCACAATGGAACTGGAGGGAAATCCATTTATGGAAGTCGCTTCCCTGATGAAAACTTCATACTGAAGCATACAGGGCCAGGTAAGTCACACACAGGGCAATGTGTATGACAGTCCACAAAAAATGTGCATGAATCCCCACCACTGTCCTGAAATAAGGACTAATCCTCTTATTCATATTATATCTGATAGAATGAGACGTGTGAATAACCTTTGTCATAGGAAGGATCTATTATGCGGTGGTGCATTGGGGGGCCTTTTGTGTTCCTTTTAGTCCTCACCCTTTTTTTTTTTTTTTTTTTTCAAAACCAGTTTGCAATAAATAGCTCTAATATTGTGCTGTATCTGTGCTATATGCCAGTGGTCCTGGATGTTCAGGTTGCAGTTGCTAGATAAATGTTTAATTTGGTAGTTGATGACTGAGTGAGGCTTTAGATTCAGATTTCCCCTGTATAGCTCACGCCAAAAGTCTGGGGAACTTCAATGCGTACCATGGCCCATGTACAGCTGATTCTGCTATCCTGGCCATTTGATATCTGAAGAGAATCTCTATCTGTAGGCCAGAGTTGAGGATGGCATCTGCATGGATGTTCTTGGTTGTAACATCTGCACTATCTAAGGACTTGTACATTGAAAAGATTTAGAACCTTTTTATGACCTGGACACATTATTTTAGTTCCTGAGAGGAAAACAAAAAAAGCAGTATGATGGCTTTTATATCATCTCAATTTCTCTATTTTCCCCAAAAGTCGTGTTTTCAGGATCTTATTTAATCTTTACTTTCTCTGGATAAATGCCCACAGTAGTCTTTCCCACCAAGGGAAAACCTCAAAGACCTCTGAATGTGGCTGTTTTCATGATAAGCGCAGACACAAGGACTGACGTATCAGAGATCTGAAGGGAAACTTTTTTTTACTACAGCAAACAATTACATTTTTGTTTTACTTTGGTGTTTGTGTGTTTTTTGTGGGGTTTTTTTGT